TTTGAGATAGTCCTCGATTTTTTTTTTTGCCTTCCCCAGTGTTTTTTTTTTACGCTCCCAAGCCGTTTTTTTTTTGTGGCACTTGCTGCTTTTTTTTTTTGGCTGGGCTGCCATTTTTTTTTTTCCTGCTTGTGCGATTTTTTTTTTGCCACTCTGCTCAGTTTTTTTTTTAAAGGCGGACCTCTTTTTTTTTTTTGCACCTTTAAAACTTTTTTTTTTAATACTGGGGTGGGTTTTTTTTTTAAGAGACCCCATGTTTTTTTTTTTAACCTGGTCCTGTCTTTTTTTTTTCACCCTGGGCGCAGTTTTTTTTTTCCACCAGGGCAACCTTTTTTTTTTGGGGGCGAGCTGTGTTTTTTTTTTGGCTTCTATTTGGATTTTTTTTTTTCGCTGCCATTTAATTTTTTTTTTGTAAAATCAGAAAATTTTTTTTTTTCATTTCCTGAGGATTTTTTTTTTGTAAGCACTGTACCTTTTTTTTTTTATGTTATCTCATGTTTTTTTTTTAACTCTGTGATGTGTTTTTTTTTTTTATCCCCATTCCTTTTTTTTTTTGTAGCATGTTTAAGTTTTTTTTTTTAGTGATTGCTGGATTTTTTTTTTTCTAGGGGCTGAACTTTTTTTTTTAGTTACAGGGCTGTTTTTTTTTTTCAACTCAGAAAAAGTTTTTTTTTTAGTTGATGACCCCTTTTTTTTTTTCATTTGATTTCTGTTTTTTTTTTTTATTGCTCAGCTCATTTTTTTTTTAAATGCACTGACACTTTTTTTTTTATTCTAGAGACATCTTTTTTTTTTTAGACCCAGTAGATTTTTTTTTTTAACATTGTAGCCACTTTTTTTTTTTTAATAAGGAGGATTTTTTTTTTTCAGCCATCCAGACCTTTTTTTTTTAGAGACAGGATGCATTTTTTTTTTCAGAATGACCTGCTTTTTTTTTTTGATTTAGGGGAGTCTTTTTTTTTTGGCTCCAGCACCAATTTTTTTTTTTTGGTGAGCCAGGGTTTTTTTTTTAGTTCTTAAGGAGATTTTTTTTTTCCTCCTTAAAGCTGTTTTTTTTTTGGTGAGCTGGAGTGTTTTTTTTTTGCAGTCCACCAGCCTTTTTTTTTTATGCCTGCACAACATTTTTTTTTTTAGACGGACCTAAGTTTTTTTTTTCATCGCCAAATGCCTTTTTTTTTTACTGTCACAGAATCTTTTTTTTTTTTGTGCCAATCTCATTTTTTTTTTGTTTTGGTTATGGTTTTTTTTTTTTCCAAACTGGAACATTTTTTTTTTTATCAGCTTACTGCTTTTTTTTTTCTCCATGTTGGTGTTTTTTTTTTTTTCCTATGTTGAAATTTTTTTTTTTGATGTGATGGTTTTTTTTTTTTTGCCTTTAGCAGGTGTTTTTTTTTTGAGGGTGGAGCCCTTTTTTTTTTTATGAGCACCCTTATTTTTTTTTTTACAGGGAGCTCCCCTTTTTTTTTTTGTGGGGATGTAGTTTTTTTTTTTCTATCTTGGAACCATTTTTTTTTTTATCACCAGTTGCCTTTTTTTTTTGCGTCTTGGACTTCTTTTTTTTTTCTGAGAAATTTGTTTTTTTTTTTTCACCTTATGGTATTTTTTTTTTTTAGCCTGAACTAAGGTTTTTTTTTTCTATTAATATTAAATTTTTTTTTTAAAACTTCCCTAGTTTTTTTTTTTGTTTTGGATTGTACTTTTTTTTTTGTCCTCCACACAACTTTTTTTTTTCAGTAACCAGCTAGTTTTTTTTTTCTGGGTATCAAGAGTTTTTTTTTTGTACTGGGAACTTGTTTTTTTTTTGATCAGCTCACCTTTTTTTTTTTTACAGAGTTTCCCTTTTTTTTTTTTAGTTTCATACAACTTTTTTTTTTTATTTCCCACCCACCTTTTTTTTTTATCCCAACGGTCAGTTTTTTTTTTAAGATATCACAGGCTTTTTTTTTTGAGCTGGAACGTGCTTTTTTTTTTGCTAATGAGAAATTTTTTTTTTTTCTGAACCAGACAGCTTTTTTTTTTAACGAATAGGTGATTTTTTTTTTTTCCCAGACCTGTAGTTTTTTTTTTCTTTGACAAAAGGATTTTTTTTTTAAGGAATTCTTAAATTTTTTTTTTAGCCATTATTATTATTTTTTTTTTCTGGCATTCACTCCTTTTTTTTTTGTTCCTGGCTCCGGTTTTTTTTTTATCAGCATGACCCTTTTTTTTTTTTTATTATTTTTGCCTTTTTTTTTTAACCTGAGATCAGGTTTTTTTTTTATGGGGTGAAGAGTTTTTTTTTTTCCTTGATGCCATTTTTTTTTTTTTAACCAGTACCTTGGTTTTTTTTTTGGCCAGTACAGTGGTTTTTTTTTTTACTTCCCACTTCATTTTTTTTTTAATTGGTCCTTTAATTTTTTTTTTTCATCAATGACCATTTTTTTTTTTGTCCACAAAAGCAATTTTTTTTTTCTAATCTGTTAGATTTTTTTTTTTATCACCCAGGAATTTTTTTTTTTTCTCATCCTATCTATTTTTTTTTTTTCAGTGTTTGCTTTTTTTTTTTTTGTACCCTACTTTTATTTTTTTTTTGTACCTGCTTTTGGTTTTTTTTTTTTTCACAGCCTTTTTTTTTTTTTTTTTTCTGTTTTGGCTTTTTTTTTTGGTTTAAAGCTTTGTTTTTTTTTTTGGCTTCAGAATCTTTTTTTTTTTCCAGCCGAGATTAATTTTTTTTTTCCTTTCAGCACTGCTTTTTTTTTTCAACCAAGTATGGTTTTTTTTTTTAGGGAGGGAAACTTTTTTTTTTTTGATATGGAAATATTTTTTTTTTTTGGATGAAATAGGCTTTTTTTTTTTAATTCAAAGTTATCTTTTTTTTTTATAGTAACCATATATTTTTTTTTTTAAAATAATAAATGTTTTTTTTTTGATTATATGAATATTTTTTTTTTTAAATCATCTAACAGTTTTTTTTTTTCTTGGGAAGATGCTTTTTTTTTTCAACGCCCTCAGGCTTTTTTTTTTGGGCTAGAGTGTGTTTTTTTTTTTGCTGTGGATGGAGGTTTTTTTTTTGCTTAGAAGTGTAGTTTTTTTTTTGCCCTAGGATGGCATTTTTTTTTTCTGCTATATTAGCATTTTTTTTTTGGGAGTTTTTGGTCTTTTTTTTTTGGAAAACAAGAGGATTTTTTTTTTGGGCAGAAGTGTGGTTTTTTTTTTGAGAGAACAGGAAATTTTTTTTTTCCTTGCTCTTGGGCTTTTTTTTTTTTACTTAAACATAGTTTTTTTTTTGCTCGTCCCCAACATTTTTTTTTTTATAAAAGTTTCTATTTTTTTTTTTAGGAGCTCAGAATTTTTTTTTTTTCTTGAAATAATGCTTTTTTTTTTTTTATGGGTTAACATTTTTTTTTTAAAACCCTTTACAATTTTTTTTTTGTAAAATGTTTAAATTTTTTTTTTGGGGATAGCAGGAATTTTTTTTTTATATAAAATAATAATTTTTTTTTTCAAAGAATAAAAAGTTTTTTTTTTCAAATAGTTACCACTTTTTTTTTTTGCACTAGCAACATTTTTTTTTTTATTATAAGTAGCATTTTTTTTTTTTACATGATATTAGTTTTTTTTTTTGGATGTTAGTAAGATTTTTTTTTTTTATTGATTTTTTTTTTTTTTTTTAGGATTTGCTGTATTTTTTTTTTTGCTTTCTTATTTACTTTTTTTTTTTTTTTCTATAGATATTTTTTTTTTTTTTTTTTTAATTTTTTTTTTTTTATGTTAACCACCATTTTTTTTTTTATTAGTTTTTGATGTTTTTTTTTTTGATTCATTGTTTGTTTTTTTTTTCCAGTGCTCCACGCTTTTTTTTTTCTCTTTAATACCCATTTTTTTTTTAACCCATCCCCCCATTTTTTTTTTCTCTAGAACCCTCATTTTTTTTTTAGAGTCCATCGTCTTTTTTTTTTTGTCTCCCCCTCTGATTTTTTTTTTTTCATTCTTCCCCTTTTTTTTTTTAGATACATATTTCTTTTTTTTTTTGACAAGTTAATGGATTTTTTTTTTTATAAGAATATATTTTTTTTTTTTAATATCTGTACTAGTTTTTTTTTTTTCAGGACATGTATTTTTTTTTTTATGTCATTACTGTTTTTTTTTTTTGCAAGCTGGTAAATTTTTTTTTTTGAATACGTCAGTCCTTTTTTTTTTGTGATGCTTCTTAATTTTTTTTTTAACATGTATCAGGTTTTTTTTTTTGTCCTTTTATTTCTTTTTTTTTTTAATGAGGATCCATATTTTTTTTTTCTTTTAAATTCTTTTTTTTTTTTTTAAATTTTATATCCTTTTTTTTTTCATCTTGTTTTCTTTTTTTTTTTTGGGAACATTTAAGTTTTTTTTTTTTGCACCTATCGGGGTTTTTTTTTTAGACCATAGGGTGGTTTTTTTTTTGTTGAGTGTAGTTGTTTTTTTTTTGGAGGGAGCCAATGTTTTTTTTTTGCCTTTGAGGAGTTTTTTTTTTTTCTGGAGAGAAGCCTTTTTTTTTTTTACGGGATTACAATTTTTTTTTTTGAACACAATAAAAGTTTTTTTTTTGCAGCAAAGACCTTTTTTTTTTTTCCAGGGGGCATACATTTTTTTTTTCACAAAATTCTTTCTTTTTTTTTTCGTTGGCTAAAGCTTTTTTTTTTTGTTACTCTAATTAATTTTTTTTTTCTAAACTTGTCATTTTTTTTTTTTACTGTCCCTCACAATTTTTTTTTTTTGCTGAGTTGTGATTTTTTTTTTCGAGGGCATTCTGTTTTTTTTTTTAAGAAAGCACGGGATTTTTTTTTTGCGTGCTTCCCTTGTTTTTTTTTTTGTCACCTTTCCAGTTTTTTTTTTCGTGACTCCTACAGTTTTTTTTTTTCTTTCCTTTTAGGTTTTTTTTTTTCGACAGGTTTGGATTTTTTTTTTAAGGGGAGGCTTCCTTTTTTTTTTCTGCTGGGCGAAGATTTTTTTTTTAGCAAGTCAAATGGTTTTTTTTTTACCACCGTGGAAGGTTTTTTTTTTGACAGGGATTGGAGTTTTTTTTTTTACCGCAGCTGAACTTTTTTTTTTGTGCCTGCCAGAATTTTTTTTTTTCTTCTCAGGGACTCTTTTTTTTTTTTCTCCCCCTCTGCTTTTTTTTTTTGGGAACAGATGTGTTTTTTTTTTAAGTGGTTTGTTCTTTTTTTTTTTTCGGTGTCCCTCAGTTTTTTTTTTCGGAGCACCGCCTGTTTTTTTTTTCTGTGAAACAGCCATTTTTTTTTTGGCCTTCTTTCTCATTTTTTTTTTTCTAGGGGAGATCGTTTTTTTTTTTCGTCGTGATTTTGTTTTTTTTTTATCAAGGGCCCTGATTTTTTTTTTGATGTATTAGGGGATTTTTTTTTTATGTCTGCGGGGCCTTTTTTTTTTAGTAGGATTTTGCCTTTTTTTTTTAACGTTGGCCAGCATTTTTTTTTTGGACGTGGAAGCCTTTTTTTTTTTCTCCTAACCAGGGCTTTTTTTTTTAGGGAGCATGTCAGTTTTTTTTTTACGAAGCTCACCACTTTTTTTTTTCCTTAAAGTGGACATTTTTTTTTTGACTCAGATCTAGATTTTTTTTTTCCCAGAGGACCACTTTTTTTTTTTCCTCTGTCAACACTTTTTTTTTTTTGAGCTGTTCTGTGTTTTTTTTTTTCTTCACTGGCTTTTTTTTTTTTTAGAGCAATCTGTCTTTTTTTTTTTCCTCCTTTGCCTTCTTTTTTTTTTCCTCCCACCCCCACTTTTTTTTTTAGGAGCTGCTGGGGTTTTTTTTTTGCCTGCCTGGAGGCTTTTTTTTTTTGCCACCTTCTCTGTTTTTTTTTTTTGAGCGAATCGGGTTTTTTTTTTGTCGTCCCTCCCCATTTTTTTTTTAGCTAGGGATACGGTTTTTTTTTTATTCACGCATTAACTTTTTTTTTTCAGGTGGCTGATATTTTTTTTTTTAGATGCCAGCTCGATTTTTTTTTTATGGCGGGTGGGGATTTTTTTTTTAGGAGACCGAGTGATTTTTTTTTTCAAGGAGGAGCTCATTTTTTTTTTTGGCTTCAGAGAGATTTTTTTTTTGGAAAGGCCGGGTGTTTTTTTTTTGGCGGCTATGAACATTTTTTTTTTGAATACTTTTAATATTTTTTTTTTGGGGGCACCAGCTCTTTTTTTTTTGGAGGTGAGGAAGCTTTTTTTTTTCGTTCTTGGTGGGATTTTTTTTTTCGCCGCGCTGGCTCTTTTTTTTTTTGGCCTGTCTCTGTTTTTTTTTTTCCACAGCCAGGGAGTTTTTTTTTTCCGCCGGCAGCCTGTTTTTTTTTTTGGAAAAGAAAGAGTTTTTTTTTTTAGGTGTGCAGCACTTTTTTTTTTAGCCAGGGGTTCAGTTTTTTTTTTCAATGTCTCTGTTATTTTTTTTTTCCCCGCAAATTCTGTTTTTTTTTTGTGGCCGTCCCTAGTTTTTTTTTTCCAATGGTGGGCAGTTTTTTTTTTCTCGAAAGTCAGTGTTTTTTTTTTAGACACTCATGATCTTTTTTTTTTCAGCAGTGCTCTGGTTTTTTTTTTGCAAGTAGAACACATTTTTTTTTTGATAGATGATTATGTTTTTTTTTTCTTAAGGTTTAATCTTTTTTTTTTCTATTAAATTTGAATTTTTTTTTTCAGCTTTGATGAGTTTTTTTTTTTATGATAAGGGAAGGTTTTTTTTTTTATAAAGGAACTGATTTTTTTTTTAGTAGAACTGACCGTTTTTTTTTTATACTTAACATATTTTTTTTTTTTAACAAAATTGTATTTTTTTTTTTTTTGTAACTATGAAATTTTTTTTTTTAGAAAACAATTTGTTTTTTTTTTGGAGAGTTAAACATTTTTTTTTTTTACGAGTCAGTAATTTTTTTTTTTGGTATATGTGAAAATTTTTTTTTTCAAAAGTTTGCACATTTTTTTTTTCTGCGGTGTTCTTCTTTTTTTTTTTAAAGTGGAAACAATTTTTTTTTTCATCAGCGAACGAGTTTTTTTTTTAGATGAGCTGTAACTTTTTTTTTTATATTATTTGACCGTTTTTTTTTTTGACGTCCTGATTCTTTTTTTTTTACAGATGAACCTTGTTTTTTTTTTGCTAAATGAAAGCATTTTTTTTTTAAAGGCCATGTAACTTTTTTTTTTAATGTCCAGGATAGTTTTTTTTTTAGAGATCAGTGTCTTTTTTTTTTTGGGAAAGGGAGCAATTTTTTTTTTCTGCTTGACAGGTGTTTTTTTTTTTTTTGGGGTGATGATTTTTTTTTTGAATTAGACAGTAATTTTTTTTTTACCACTCCATGAATTTTTTTTTTTCACTCGTTGTGCTTTTTTTTTTTTATAAGGGTGAGTTTTTTTTTTTTTTGAATTTTATCTCATTTTTTTTTTTTAACTCCATGGAGTTTTTTTTTTGAAAGTAATTTGCCTTTTTTTTTTAGTGGTTGTGTTATTTTTTTTTTTACCAGGTAATTTTTTTTTTTTTTTCGAATTTATGCCAATTTTTTTTTTGTACTCATTGAAAATTTTTTTTTTAAATTATTTTAAAATTTTTTTTTTATATTTCCCTTTATTTTTTTTTTTTTCTTGCTTAATTTTTTTTTTTTTTTTCTGTTCTCTCCTTTTTTTTTTCCCAAATACAGGTCTTTTTTTTTTAGGCCACCTGTGGATTTTTTTTTTGAGATGTCAGTGAGTTTTTTTTTTTGTGAGTAGAGCACTTTTTTTTTTTCATGGCCATTGTTTTTTTTTTTTAAAGTACATTTCCTTTTTTTTTTTATTCATTTCCTTTTTTTTTTTTTTTTACGGTGCCTTGCTTTTTTTTTTCTTAACTTTAGGGCTTTTTTTTTTCTCAGCTGGTTAAGTTTTTTTTTTTTGATTTTGGCTCATTTTTTTTTTTCAGGATCACGAGATTTTTTTTTTCATGGGGCTCCATGTTTTTTTTTTAGCTTTGGCTTGAGTTTTTTTTTTTCTCTCCCTTTGCCTTTTTTTTTTCTCTCTCTCTCTCTTTTTTTTTTTAAGTTGCTTAACTTTTTTTTTTTTCACTCAATAAATACTTTTTTTTTTAAAGATGGTGTGGTTTTTTTTTTTATGGCTCCCCAAGATTTTTTTTTTCTTATCTCTGAAACTTTTTTTTTTTACCCCAGAAGAGATTTTTTTTTTGGGATTAAGTTAAATTTTTTTTTTTTATGGGGCGATTATTTTTTTTTTTCCCTGTGGGGCCCTTTTTTTTTTACAAGTATTCTTTTTTTTTTTTTTAGAGGGAGATGTTATTTTTTTTTTGGAGAAGGTGATGTTTTTTTTTTTGCAGAGTTTGGAGGTTTTTTTTTTGAAGATTGAGGAAGTTTTTTTTTTCTGGGGAAACAGGGTTTTTTTTTTAGATGGAAAAGGCATTTTTTTTTTTTCTCCTCTTGGAATTTTTTTTTTGAAGCTGCCCTGCTTTTTTTTTTTCTTTGGCCCCAGTGTTTTTTTTTTTGGACTCCTGGCCTTTTTTTTTTTATGAGATTAAATTGTTTTTTTTTTAAGTCACCAAGTGTTTTTTTTTTTGTCACAGAAGCAATTTTTTTTTTTTACAGACAGTGAACTTTTTTTTTTTGTTTTAAGATGCATTTTTTTTTTAACCAGAGTCTAATTTTTTTTTTTCGGTTTTCATTTAGTTTTTTTTTTTTCCTGCCCGTGGCTTTTTTTTTTCCCACCTCCTAGGCTTTTTTTTTTGAAGACAATGAACTTTTTTTTTTTAAAAGAGGGGCAGGTTTTTTTTTTCCCCAGGGGGGACCTTTTTTTTTTCTGGTTCACTGGTGTTTTTTTTTTTCTCAGTGGCTGGATTTTTTTTTTGCTTAGTGCACCAATTTTTTTTTTAAGGCTGACTCATCTTTTTTTTTTAGAGGGGGTGATGATTTTTTTTTTTGTTGAAAAGACCTTTTTTTTTTTGTGGCATCTTAAAATTTTTTTTTTACTTCACCTGTGGATTTTTTTTTTACATTCCTTGCAGATTTTTTTTTTAGAAAATGCCGGAGTTTTTTTTTTGCGGATGCAGGGTTTTTTTTTTTTGGGTTGGGGGGGATTTTTTTTTTTGGGGCTACAACAGTTTTTTTTTTTGTTCAGTCATCCGGTTTTTTTTTTCTGCCTGCTGTGTGTTTTTTTTTTCTATCCTTTAGAGGTTTTTTTTTTACAGGAAGAGAGGCTTTTTTTTTTGAGGGGGAGCACGCTTTTTTTTTTTTTCTTTTTTTTAATTTTTTTTTTATTTATTTGACAGATTTTTTTTTTGTGAGAGAGGGAACTTTTTTTTTTGGAGTGGGGGAGGGTTTTTTTTTTTTCCCGCTGAGCAGTTTTTTTTTTGCGGGGGGGGGGGGTTTTTTTTTTCAGGACCCTGGGATTTTTTTTTTTGCCAAAGGCAGACGTTTTTTTTTTGAGCCACCCAGACGTTTTTTTTTTGGTTTTTAATTTCCTTTTTTTTTTCTGCCCGTGTCCCTTTTTTTTTTTTTTCTTGTTTCTTTTTTTTTTTTTTTGTTTCTGAATTTTTTTTTTTTTCACCAAGATGCTAATTTTTTTTTTAGCAGTAACAAGCTTTTTTTTTTTCCTCCGAAGATGAGTTTTTTTTTTGGCGCCATCAGGCATTTTTTTTTTCTAAATGCCATTGGTTTTTTTTTTCTTCTGCTGGAGGTTTTTTTTTTTGCGAGACAACATTCTTTTTTTTTTGACTCGATTCTGGGTTTTTTTTTTTGTGACCCCCACAATTTTTTTTTTGACTGGTGGTAACTTTTTTTTTTTCACCTGCCAGGAAGTTTTTTTTTTTCTCCCGTCTCAGTTTTTTTTTTTCATTGTCTTGGTAATTTTTTTTTTTGCTACCATGGCTGTTTTTTTTTTGGCTGAGCTTGCTGTTTTTTTTTTGGATGAGGCTGCCCTTTTTTTTTTTCCTGCTCCTCGATTTTTTTTTTTATTCCCAATCAATTTTTTTTTTTTGATTGATTGGGAGATTTTTTTTTTAAGGGTCTGTGACATTTTTTTTTTAGCTGAAAGTCTTATTTTTTTTTTTTAACTTTGCCCGTTTTTTTTTTTGACTTTCAGCTCCCTTTTTTTTTTCCTTCTCGTGTCTGTTTTTTTTTTCACGTGTCCCACGTTTTTTTTTTTTCCCTGCCAGCTCTTTTTTTTTTTTGGGGGCATGTTCCTTTTTTTTTTGAGCCACCGGGGTCTTTTTTTTTTGGGCAGAACCTGTGTTTTTTTTTTACTAGTCATCACCTTTTTTTTTTTGGGTCAATCTGGCATTTTTTTTTTCAGCTGTCAGCTCCTTTTTTTTTTGTACCTTCAACAGTTTTTTTTTTTCAGATGCTTTCATTTTTTTTTTTTCAATAAATGACCGATTTTTTTTTTAATAAAAGAGAAAGTTTTTTTTTTACATATTCGATGATTTTTTTTTTTAAGTACCTTTATATTTTTTTTTTTGCTCTTCCTCTCTATTTTTTTTTTAGTGAGGGATCGGTTTTTTTTTTTACGCTTCATGGTGGTTTTTTTTTTAAATTGGACAGCTCTTTTTTTTTTAGCAAGACTGCTTATTTTTTTTTTGGCATTTTCCATTCTTTTTTTTTTGATGGCATCCATCTTTTTTTTTTTCATGTCTTTGGTCATTTTTTTTTTAGAAAAAAGAGTTTTTTTTTTTTTATTTTTTTTAAGATTTTTTTTTTTTTATCAGAGACAGATTTTTTTTTTGCACAAGCAGGGGGTTTTTTTTTTGCAGAAGGAGAAGCTTTTTTTTTTCTGAGCAGGGAGCCTTTTTTTTTTCTCGATCCCAGAACTTTTTTTTTTTGACCTGAGCCAAATTTTTTTTTTTAACTGACTGAGCCTTTTTTTTTTCCCGAACAGGACTTTTTTTTTTTTTCCTTTCCTGGGGTTTTTTTTTTTATAGAGAAGCTAAATTTTTTTTTTGGAAATTTTCTCAGTTTTTTTTTTGGAAAAAAAAAAAGTTTTTTTTTTACCCTTTTATTCGATTTTTTTTTTTTTTTGAAGATTATTTTTTTTTTTTGAAATACACTAAATTTTTTTTTTTTTAAAGGAATCCTTTTTTTTTTTGTTTTGTAAAAATATTTTTTTTTTTTTTCTCAGACAAATTTTTTTTTTTAATTGTATGTCAGTTTTTTTTTTAACGATGCCAAGGGTTTTTTTTTTGGCTCCGATGGTTATTTTTTTTTTTTTGGCTCAGGTCATTTTTTTTTTGTCCTGGGATTGAGTTTTTTTTTTGGCTCCTGGCTCAGTTTTTTTTTTGCTTCTCCCTCTCCTTTTTTTTTTCCCCCTGCTCATGCTTTTTTTTTTTCTGTATCTCTGTCTTTTTTTTTTATAAAACAAAAACCTTTTTTTTTTAAAAACCGATGCCATTTTTTTTTTTTAAAACAGAAGCATTTTTTTTTTAACAAGTGCTGTGATTTTTTTTTTGCTGAGTGTCCACTTTTTTTTTTTCTGGTGCTACACGCTTTTTTTTTTAAAAGCTGCTCCTTTTTTTTTTTTCCATTTTTAGACACTTTTTTTTTTGACATATTTTTAAGTTTTTTTTTTCAAGGATGTCATTCTTTTTTTTTTTTATTATAATAAAATTTTTTTTTTTAATTAATATTCGCTTTTTTTTTTTGTGAATTGTGGTATTTTTTTTTTATGAAATGCTATGTTTTTTTTTTTAAACAAAGGGCACCTTTTTTTTTTAGTGGGAAGAGCAGTTTTTTTTTTATCTCGGGGTTGCGTTTTTTTTTTCCATGTTGGGTGCATTTTTTTTTTAAAAATAAAATCTTTTTTTTTTTTAAGACAAAGGGGTATTTTTTTTTTTAATATATGAAAACTTTTTTTTTTAGAGTGTTGAGGGATTTTTTTTTTGTTATGAAATAGTATTTTTTTTTTACCTGTCTGTAAATTTTTTTTTTTACATAGAAAAATTTTTTTTTTTTTACTCCGATAAAAGGTTTTTTTTTTCTAGCCAAGCTGACTTTTTTTTTTAACCATCACAAAGTTTTTTTTTTTTTTTTAAGTGAGTTTTTTTTTTTTTTGTTGATTTGTAATTTTTTTTTTTATATTATGGGTATTTTTTTTTTTTCAGATGTATTATTTTTTTTTTTTTTCTCCCACCCATATTTTTTTTTTTCATTCTTTTGATATTTTTTTTTTATACACAGGAGTTTTTTTTTTTTTTACAGTCCATATCTTTTTTTTTTTCTTCGACTTTTGAGTTTTTTTTTTCATTTTGACTGGGATTTTTTTTTTTAGCTCAGCCATACTTTTTTTTTTGAGAAAGCAAAATCTTTTTTTTTTCTTACCTCATGAAATTTTTTTTTTAAAGTTTGGAGGCGTTTTTTTTTTTTGTGGTAGGTATCTTTTTTTTTTAAAAAGAAGAAAAGTTTTTTTTTTGGGGGTGTGGAGAGTTTTTTTTTTGAATGGTTAGTATGTTTTTTTTTTGGGGTTCACCTTTTTTTTTTTTTTTTGCATATTGCATTTTTTTTTTTTGCCTCCAACTACACTTTTTTTTTTTGGGCAATCCCACCTTTTTTTTTTTAGTGAGTTTGTGGTTTTTTTTTTTACCCTACAATTTTTTTTTTTTTTTAGGACACTTTTGATTTTTTTTTTTGAGCATTGTTACATTTTTTTTTTGGATGACAGACATATTTTTTTTTTAATCCCAGCAAAATTTTTTTTTTTGTCACCTTGGTCATTTTTTTTTTTCCTCCAGATCTTGATTTTTTTTTTTGTCTTCTTCACTATTTTTTTTTTCCTAACAAGAGTGTTTTTTTTTTTCTTGTTAGTTTTAGTTTTTTTTTTAGTGCCTTTTAGGGTTTTTTTTTTATTATTTTTGAATCTTTTTTTTTTCCAACATGACCAACTTTTTTTTTTGCAACCTCCATGTGTTTTTTTTTTAAATGTGAACCCCATTTTTTTTTTCAATAGCAATATCATTTTTTTTTTTTCATGTTACCTAATTTTTTTTTTAAGGTCAATGTGCATTTTTTTTTTTTAAATTGATTTATTTTTTTTTTTTGAGAGCCACTGGATTTTTTTTTTTCCTGTAAGAGCCATTTTTTTTTTCCTCACAGAGCCCATTTTTTTTTTGAGGAGCAGCCCAGTTTTTTTTTTTTTCTAGCCCCAATTTTTTTTTTTGCTGAAAACTAGAATTTTTTTTTTATGGTCCCTGTCCTTTTTTTTTTTGTCTGGTTCTACTTTTTTTTTTTTGTCTGTTTGTTCTGTTTTTTTTTTCTCGGATTTGTGTCTTTTTTTTTTGTCTCTATTTTCTATTTTTTTTTTTAGAGCTGGCTTGGTTTTTTTTTTATATGCACCTGGGATTTTTTTTTTTCCCATGCCTTTCTTTTTTTTTTTAATCTCCAAACCCCTTTTTTTTTTGACTTTGTGGACTATTTTTTTTTTTATCTGTGCTTGGATTTTTTTTTTTCAACTCCACTAGATTTTTTTTTTCTAGAGATCAGAAATTTTTTTTTTTTTATCCATCTTCATTTTTTTTTTAGTTATACAATATCTTTTTTTTTTGAAGTGCTCCATCTTTTTTTTTTTAATTCCATGAACCGTTTTTTTTTTTGTCACTTGGATGCTTTTTTTTTTCTATCTCCCATGGTTTTTTTTTTTCCCCTGGATCTGAATTTTTTTTTTTTTGCTCAGCACTCTTTTTTTTTTATGTTCTGCTCAAATTTTTTTTTTGCCATGGGTCCTAATTTTTTTTTTTAGTCCAGCCAGCCTTTTTTTTTTACTTGACTCTGCACTTTTTTTTTTTCTTGGCCACTGTTTTTTTTTTTTAATGCTCTCTGAAGTTTTTTTTTTAACCTGTGTTACAATTTTTTTTTTAGAAAATGCAGATATTTTTTTTTTGGTTACTTCATATATTTTTTTTTTCATATTACAAATATTTTTTTTTTTAAGAAATTGGCAAGTTTTTTTTTTGTAGAAGGGTGTTTTTTTTTTTTTCCTTTGGCTCTCCCTTTTTTTTTTTGTCCCAGTCGGAATTTTTTTTTTCTCTCATACTCTTGTTTTTTTTTTAAGGAAAAATAATATTTTTTTTTTATTCCAAGAAAGAATTTTTTTTTTTTCAAAAGGCCTTGTTTTTTTTTTGTGATCCTATATATTTTTTTTTTTTAGTTTTGAGAACCTTTTTTTTTTTTCTATTAATATTTTTTTTTTTTTAATCTACACTTAGTTTTTTTTTTTCTTCAGAAACCAGTTTTTTTTTTTTGGCCATGTTAATTTTTTTTTTTTTGAACAGAATTTTGTTTTTTTTTTCATGATTATCTAAATTTTTTTTTTTCTACTACGTCCAATTTTTTTTTTTCAAGAAAACCACATTTTTTTTTTTCTTGTATTTTGCTTTTTTTTTTTCCATTATTAGCTTCTTTTTTTTTTCCACATTCATTATTTTTTTTTTTTAGCTATTAAATAGCTTTTTTTTTTGCCGCCTGGGTGGCTTTTTTTTTTAGGGTCTGCCTTTGTTTTTTTTTTTGATCCCAGGGTCCTTTTTTTTTTTCCCACATTGGGCTTTTTTTTTTTTGGGAAGCCTGCTTTTTTTTTTTTCACTCCCCCTGCTTTTTTTTTTTTTCTCGCTATCTCTCTTTTTTTTTTAAATAAATAAAATCTTTTTTTTTTTAAATAAATAAATATTTTTTTTTTTATTTGTTTCAAACTTTTTTTTTTTCCGAGGTTGCTTCTTTTTTTTTTATTTGGATTTCATTTTTTTTTTTTTCATTGGTGATTGTTTTTTTTTTTATTAAGTGTGCCCTTTTTTTTTTTAGTTATTTTTAAATTTTTTTTTTTGAGATTCTTGTGTATTTTTTTTTTCATGTTAGGAGAGATTTTTTTTTTGTAACACATACTACTTTTTTTTTTAACTTCATTTTTCTTTTTTTTTTTCAAAATCTGGGTTCTTTTTTTTTTCTTTTTAAAG